TAGAATCGAAAATAAGTGGCAACCTTACACTATTATCCCAAAGGGATAAGATTTTGTATATAGGGAAAGCATTGTTTAAGAACCTTCTCTTGGTACCAATAAATAGTAATATTTTACCTTTTTTCTAAACAAAAAATTAAATAAATATGCGAGGTGACAACACTGTTAAATATATATTTTTTAATTAGGGATCTTTAAAATACCTTCCATTTGAGACCCGGTTGGTATTTCAATTAATTTGTAACTAAGTTCGAATAGGCGGCAACCTTATACGAGTCTTCTCGGCCTATTCAAATAACCTTAAAATCGGAAACATTATCTGTGTACAAGTTTTCATCAAAATTATTAGAGCCGAGAACCCTATGGATATTTATATATATATACAAGAATTACTCGTTTAATGTAATAAGATAAGTTTTATAATTTCGGTGGTAAAACCGATGTTTTTTTTTGGGATTTACCCTAATATACATATTTACAAATGGATAACCACTCGTGCATACAAGTGTCAATGCAAACACATTCCAACAACGATTACAAAATGCTATACAAACACGAATTGGATAAACCGGACGCATAACCGGTGCCATCAATAAAACTGTATGTGAGTAATAAAATCACAAGCCGCGTTTTTTTCATTATTTTTTAATTTGATCGAATAAACACTTTGTTCTTTAATAAACCGTCATGCGTGAAATTATGATTTAAATCAAAATAATTTTTATTGCTTGAAACAATAACAAAAGTGAGCGATACCACTTGTAAAACTAGGCTGGATTCGGTAGCAAATTTAGAAGTGGCGCTAAAAATTACATAGTATCGCTACTAGGGATGTTCGTTTTTCAGTTTTTCCGATCCCGGGATTTTCGGTATGTCATTATCACAATTCCGCGATCCCGGGATTAGTTCCGCGATTTAGATATTCATTACTTTTCTACAACTTATATCGAAAAAATTGCTTCTATATTGTTTGAATAAGTAATGAATAAATGCCTATAAATAAATAACCTACTTTTTATTTAAAGTGGCGATTTTATTTTTTTCTCGCTGACGTCATGATTTATTTTAATCAAAGATATGATTAATTGCAAAAAAAATTAAAAAAATTCATTGCAATGTAGAATAAAAAGGTGGGTACCAAACAAAAGAGGAAATTTCTTTAGAATTAAAAAGAAATTAAAATTTTTGGATTCACAAGGACGAATAGGTTAATTTTTAAGCTTATAAATTTAGAAGGACGAAATTCGAGAATGTTATCGAGTTTATATAAGTCCTTAACATATAATTTTTTCAAAAACAAATATTGCGAAATCTCAAGCATAAAATTTTAAAAGGACATTTTCAATACTTACCAGTCCTTCTGCACCAAAAATTGGAATCTGTTTAAATTCTAAAGGATTTCCTCTTTACTTTGATACCAATACTTCTTCTCTAAGCGCATTTATCTGAATTTCTTAAATCGTTTTTGAATTACTGACGTCAGAGTGAAAAACTAAAAACACAATTGTACTATATTTGGCCCATGGTTTCGCGAATATATTGATATTTGTGTTTAAAATTTACTATCGCGCGGTGTTATATGTATAATGAGCTAGACATTAAAAAAACAAATATTAATTATTAAATAAAAAAAGAAATATATCCAATACTGGTCAAGAAAAGGAGTTTCCATTATTGCCATCAGTGCAAATTACAAATCCCGAAAATCCCGGGATTATTTGCCAAGAATCTCGGAATTTTTGGACCGGGATTAACATTCCAAATCGCTACAAATGTAGCCTAATGTCGAGTTTCCACGTGCTATTAAATTGTAAAAATTTTAATGACAGGCGCTAATAAATACTCGTTCTGTTGCATTAATAAAAAACTCAGTGGGCATAAGTTACAATCGGACAGACAATCACACGGCACAGTCTTTTTAAAAATTTAGAGGAAGTAGAGTGATGTCCAACCATACAGTCTTTTACGAGCGTTTTTACACGCAACTTTTACAGGGACATTCTGGTTAAGATGGTAAAAAGTCTTTCGTAAGAAAAATGAAAGAGAGATGGCAAGTTAGTTCGAGACTTCAATATTTCGAAATTTAAGGACGCCCTTGAAAATAAATAACATTACTATGTAATTTTGGAAACTGGGCGTGATACCGCCCACTTATAGCCACATAACTTTATCTCGTTAAGTGTCGTTTTCTCAAGTAACCGGTAACTTTAAAACTTACTTTATATTTAAAGGTTGCAAAAAAATTTCAGAAAACGGTCTTAAGTCATACTATCGAAGATGTTTGAAATAGGGGTAAAATCACCCCTGCTTTGGATAGGTGAAAAAACTAAATTAAATACGTGCGCCGGATTTTTAAATGTTCTGCTTCACCCGAACATAGAGTTTTTACTTGTCTTAATTTACTTTTCTTTTAATTATTGCATTTTTTTGTCCTAAAAAGAAAAAATATATATTCTTTAATTTCATTTGATCTTTAGAAACAGTTTTTTTTTTAAGTTTTGTTTGAATATTTTATTGGTTTAAACCAAAAAAAAATATTAAAAAAAATTTTTTTCCTAAAATAATTTTCTTTTAATTATTAGATGTTATTGTCTTGAAACGTAAAATATTTTTTTTTACTTCCATCCAGTTAAAAATTTATTTTAGTTTTTTCTAATATTTCAATTGACATTTTTTCTTCTAGGTTTAAATTTCGTTCTATGCTTAGATTTTATTATTTTATAAAGAAAAATGCTTTTTTTTCATTTCATTGAGTTTTTAGGACCTTAATTAATTTATTTTTTAATAAAGTTTTTTTTTTTATTTATTGAACAATTTTAATGAGGCCGTTTTTAATGAAAACTATTGTGGAAAAACAACAATAATTTATAAACGGTAGAAGTTATAACGGGTGATTTTTTTGAGGTTAGGATTTTCATGCATTAGTATTTGACAGATCACGTGGGATTTCAGACATGGTGTCAAAGAGAAAGATGCTCAGTATGCTTTGACATTTCATCATAAATAGACTTACTAACGAGCAACGCTTGCAAATCATTGAATTTTATTACCAAAATCAGTGTTCGGTTCGAAATGTGTTGAATGTGTGAAAAGTTGGCAGAAAATCCGCTTTTTTATCGACAAATTTTGTTCAGCGATGAGGCTCATTTCTGGTTGAATGGCTTCGTAAATAAGCAAAATTGCCGCATTTGGAGTGAAGAGCAACCAGAAGCCGTTCAAGAACTGCCCATGCATCCCGAAAAATGCACTGTTTGGTGTGGTTTGTACGCTGGTGGAATCATTGGACCGTATTTTTTCAAAGATGCTGTTGGACGCAACGTTACGGTGAATGGCGATCGCTATCGTTCGATGCTAACAAACTTTTTGTTGCCAAAAATGGAAGAACTGAACTTGGTTGACATGTGGTTTCAACAAGATGGCGCTACATGCCACACAGCTCGCGATTCTATGGCCATTTTGAGGGAAAACTTCGGAGAACAATTCATCTCAAGAAATGGACCGGTAAGTTGGCCACCAAGATCATGCGATTTGACGCCTTTAGACTATTTTTTGTGGGGCTACGTCAAGTCTAAAGTCTACAGAAATAAGCCAGCAACTATTCCAGCTTTGGAAGACAACATTTCCGAAGAAATTCGGGCTATTCCGGCCGAAATGCTCGAAAAAGTTGCCCAAAATTGGACTTTCCGAATGGACCACCTAAGACGCAGCCGCGGTCAACATTTAAATGAAATTATCTTCAAAAAGTAAATGTCATGGACCAATCTAACGTTTGAAATAAAGAACCGATGAGATTTTGCAAATTTTATGCGTTTTTTTTAAAAAAAAAGGTATCAAGCTCTTAAAAAATCACCCATTAGCTGCAATCTCGGAGATCACCACATCTCCCCATCAGACTTCTTCACTGGGATGGGATCCAACAACCCCAGCTGCCTCAGCCAGTGGTCTGCACACTGTGCTCAGTTCGCCTTATAAACTGTTGTTTCTATTTATACTTTTTTCATGTGTTAACCCAACTACAATTTATTTTTTGAATGCAATTTTCTTTTTATTTTCAGATTTTGTATTTTTTAAAAAAGATATGTTTTTTAATTTCATTTACGTAATTTTTAGAAATTTATTTTAATTAAATTTTCAGGTTTTATTGTTTTAAAAAGTTTTTTTTTATTTCACTTTCTTTTATTTTTTTTTTTAGAAAAGAAAATATTTCTTTTAATTATTGAAACGGATTTTATATCTATTTTTGTTTTTTAATTTAGATAGATAGAAGATAGTTGCCAGATTTGCCAATTATTTTACGAAAGACCTATGTCCTGTTTCGGCTCCTACTAGATCAAAAATATACGAAATATTTTGTAAGGGCTAGGATGAAATTTTATATACTTTCATTCCTAGACCGACCCTGAACTATTTGAGCTGTAGAATCAATGTCATTGCGTTGATTTAGATTTTAATAAGCAGAATTATACTTCTATATAGATTATAGATGACCATCAATTTAGCACTTTTTAGGCCTCCAAAGTGATTAATATATTTATATCAAATTGCTCACGACCCTGTATGGTATGTAGTAAGTGGTCTGCAATTAAATATGTTTGCATGTACATATGTATGTATAATTGAAATTAATCGGTGTTAGTGACGATGCGTTCAACTCACCTCAATTCTAATCAAAACAATGCAAATCTAATGTGTTAATATTTAGAATAGTTTTTGGAGTATATGAAGCAGGAAATTACTGCACACCATGTCGCTCAACAAGCCAGCCAACCAACCAACCAACCAATCGTATAACCATGCCATCTCCTGCATTGTAGGGCAGTTGACAAATTTGGTTACCACAGTTTGTTGCAACACGTCGATGCGTCTAGTCGTAACGCGGTGCGTAGGTACGACGCACATATTTTAAGCAACTTTCAAATGAGATACCTACATACAGTTTTTTTGTATACTACCCACCGTACTTTATTTGGGACGCAAAGTTTAAATTGGATTATATCAGCATGATTTGGAGCAGCGATCTATGTTACAAGCTTTACTTCTGGCCATTTTTAAACTATCTGGCTGGTATAAAAGGAATTTGTCCATATTTTATAGGTTATTTTCCCTTTATCACACTTGCGCCGGGTACTATATTGACATCGCCTTCCACAGCTTCCACAACAACATCCACCACTACGTCCACCACAATCACGACGACGACAGCCGCAACAACGATTCCGACGTTTCCGACGTTTCCGACGATTCCGACGTTTTCGCCTACACCGCCAACCGTGACCACCCAGCAGCCGTGTCCGGCACAACCATTGGCGTGCTTGAATGGTGGCGTGCCACCAATAGCCTATTGCCCCTGTATCGATCCAAGGCTAAGTGGACTGGCGGGTGGCACTAGTGGAACTACCGCAGCGGCACTGCTGACTAGATTCGGTCAGGCATCACAGACGCAACTCCAAAGTGCAGGACAATTGACTGATCGTCTCACATTTGCGCCAATTAATACACAATCGAATGGCGGCGCGCAAAGCTTACAACCACAAGCTAGTGGATCTTCAATGACAAATTCATTTTTCAATTTACCGTTTGGTGTGCAAAATGGCGCGCAGTCGCCAGGACCTGTTGGCTCTGAAGTGATGGTTTTCAGTTCGCTCAGACGACGGAGGAGGCGACGAAAGTGAATATATGAATTGAAGTTTATGCGCATTAATAAATTAGTACTGTAGCAACTGAATGGAGTAATAAGGGAATCATGGATATACATACATATATCTATTTATTTTGAAATCTCTGTGAACCAGTAAAAATTCAAAGCACAAAATTTTTAAACAAATAAAAGAGCGCACATTTTGGATATAAAAAAATGGCATTTTTATATTAAGGGGCGTCCCAAAAACTTGGAGCAGGATTTTGTCTGGTTTAAAAATTTTTGTTGCGAGAAATTTGTAATTTTGCAAAGCAATTTTAAATTTTTTGGGATTTTTTAAAATAGTTCTACTGGAATAATCGAAATACTTCCAAAGTGACTTGGTGACTTCTTTTACTGACATTAAGGCGAAACATTGGTGTGACAAGAACTGAGATTTGGTGGGCAAGTACTAGATTGGGGTACTTGAGTTCAATGAGCATTGGTATACAAAATTGGACTTTAAGATCCGACTGTAAATGGCGAAGATGTAATTAAAAATTAAAAAAAAAAATAAGCCTACGTTCGGCAAAAAAAAAATCGGAACGATCTCCTTTGGCGTCCGACTGTAGATGCCGAAGATATGGTGAAAAATGTAAAAGTGGACTCCAACGTTGGACAAAAAAAAATTTAAATGCTTCCTTAGTAAAAGTTTAATGATTTTTGGCGAACTTTAATTTACTGACATTAGGGTAGTACGCTATGATTATAAGAAGTGAGGTAAATGAAATTTAAAAAAAAGGAAAAAAAACGACTTTATGGTACGACTGCAAATGTCGAAGATTTGGCGAAAAATGTAGGAAGACGACCACTACATTCGGCGAAAAGTTTTTTTTTTCGAAATTTTCTCCTTTGAATCCGACCGTAAATTCCAAAGATATGACGAAAAATGTGCGAAGGCGACCGCTACGTACGGCAAAAAAAAAAATCGAAATTGCCTTCGAATCGAAATACTTTCCCTAGCAAAAGTTTAATGATTTTTGGTGAACTTTAATTTACTGAAATTAGGGTGGTACGTTGGGATTATAAGAACTTGAGGTCAATGACGATACAAGAGTATCGATGCATCATACTTTAAGATAAATGCCGAAGATTAGACGCAAAATGTAAAATGGCGACATCCCGAATAAGGGTAAAAAAAAAATTTCAAATTGTCTTGCAAAAATACCTTAGACTCGGCGGACTTTTTTGCTGGCACGGTCTAATGTACATACATAACTACATAATGGTTTTCGAATAGGTAATACCCATTATCTATACTTCCATATTCTAAGCGTTAATTGGACTATGCTGCTGTCTATGCCATAAAAATACATTTGTACAATTAGTTACGCTTCGTTTTTTACTATGTAAATGGTAGTAGTAAAATGCATTAAATGCTTTTTTTTGTTGTTATTATGTCTTTGTGTTTGTGTAATATTTATGTATGCGTTTTTTTAACGAATTTTTAACTGACCCAATTTTGTTTTTATTTTTTCGTTTTTTTCTATTTATTAATTTTTTTTTTTGAAATTTTGCCACACTTTCCCTCAGCACAAAATTGCGTCGATTCAAGTTTTCAACCTGGCAATTGTGTACAAATAAATTTATGTCCGCAGTTAATGCAGGATTATTATGATGCTATGAGAACTTCGTCGTATTTCAACGATTTTCAGAATTTCATTAGCGGTTCCGTGTGCGGCTTTGATGGATACACTTTTATGGTGAGTACTTACTGTTGCCTAAATGGTGCATAGTTATTTATAAGAATTGGATTTTTTGAAAGCAATGCTGTTTCCACTTTTCTTTCTTAATGGAATTGGCGAATAAATAGAAACGTGGCAAAATTTTGTTTGTGGGCTCCGATTTCCATAAAAAGATTGCACATTATTTTATCGAATACCTACACTGAGGAAATTGGGCTTAGACATTTATTCTTGAGTAATGTACTGACTGACGCTTTCACCATCAAGATAAGTTTTCATTTTAAATTGCTATCGTGAAACTGGTCGTAAGAGTGTTATATCGTTGAATTAATATGCTTCTGCATCTCCTGCAGGATTGTAAGTCTTTCCACTTACGGCTAGCCATATTTTGCTATTGCTGAGAAACGCGGGATGGTCTGGTACCCAGCGTGTGATATTTAGCAAAACCTTCAGCCCGTAAAATACTTTTTGATCGAACAGACCCTTCGAGTGGGGATCAGTCTGCACAATAATTTTTGAGATATCCGTAAAATATACAGGGCATATTTTTTCTTTTTATAATTTTTTTTTTTAATTATTATTTTTTTTTAATTTTATTGTTTTAAAAAGAAAAATATTTTTTTTACTTCATTAAATATTTAGATTCGTATTTTATTTATTCTTGTCTTTTAGTTAATTTAATTTTTTCAATTTAATTTTTAGATTTCTTGTTTTAAAAATAGATTTTCTTGTTTTTTCATATATTTTTTTAGAAAATTTGTAGACTTATTTTTTCTTTTTTAGTTTCATATTTATAATTTGACTGCCTCTTATTTTTTAGGTTTTATTGTTCAAATTGAATTTTTAGAAAACTCATTCCTAAAAGACATACAGAATAACGCTAAGACCTCTTCGCCAGCAGATCTTTTAATTACCCTTTCGTAAGACAGAAAAGAGCTTTTAAAATAGCTGCCCAAACTGATAATTATCTTACGAAAGACTTTTGTCTTTCGATGGAGAGGGGTGAGTTGGTTTTTCAGTTGTCAGAATTGCCCTGATAGAATCTGCGAGGCGTTCAGTAAAAGCAACAAACACTGTTTCAAAATTGAAACACAGTAGAATGTATGTATTTGGTGTTTGGTAAGCAGTGGTGTAGTGGTAAGCAGTGCGCGCTTTCACTCACCAGCACCTGGGTTCAAGCCCTGGTCCAAGCAACATCGCAAAAAATTTAGAAAAAGGTTTTTTCTGAACAGCGGTCGTCCCTCGGCAGGCAATGGCAAACCTCCGAGTGTATTTCTGCCATGAAAAACAGCTTCTCACAAAAATACAATCGCCGTTCGGAGTCGGCGTAAAACTGTAGGTCCCACCGCTTTGTGTGACAATATCAAGGCGCACGCCACAAGTTGGAGGAGAAGCTCGGCCAAACACTAACATATGTGTAAGCGCCAATCTATTATTATTATTATTATTGAATAAGACCATATATCACTGAAAGAATATAGAATATCCCCATTTTCGTATATCCGCTCTTACCATACACGCAGTTCCCTTAAACACGAGCAGTCCGGTAAGCACTCTCCTTTATCAAAATATCGATAATCGATGGCTTAGGACAGATGCAATTTAAGGCTTTCGTTTGGCATGATCTGCTCATCCCAGTTGCCGCAATTCCGGCTGATCTTTATATCCACCCTCTCCAGAATTGCATGGTTACTTTGTCTCAACAGTTTACTACTGAACTAGCGGGCAGTATGCAACAATTGGGCGAATTACCACCAACATGGATATCTATGACTGGAGATAGTGGATTGAAGGGGCACCAAATTCGAGCTCTCGGCCGGGTGATCTCACCGGCTAGGAGTGGACTTGAGACTCAAAGAGGAGCAGAGGAGTTATCTACCTGGTCTGCCAAGGCACCGACCAGGACCAGTTGAGACAGCCGCGCAATAATTTCAACCCAATCTCCAAGATCGGCTTTCCCTCACCGGAACCTCTTTCGGTCGTGTTCTAGAACATCTTTCAGTTTACCACCACCTCTATTTTGAGTAGCCTGGTAAGCCGGCCAAACACTGCCTCATCCATCGCCCCCTCGAAGCGAGTTTTTCCTCCAGCACGGTTCCACTGTCTCTGTTATTTTCAAAGTTAAGTTCGAAAAAAATGTTGCATGTGGTAATTTTAAATAGACATTTTATTTTGGTTTATAGTTTTATTAATTTGTTAATTACGGAAATATATGTATGGTACATTAGACTGCATCACTCCCCATACAAAAAAAAAAAAATCGGTACTAATTTTCCATTGGAATTATAAAATCTATTATATTTTAAGAAGTCCACCAAAATATTTCGAAAAAATATTAAGATTTAAGTGAGCTGGACAAATTTCAAAATACCTCCAAAAATGGAGTTTTTTTTGAATAAAAATAGTTTCGTAAATTTTTTTTTTTTTAAATCCTCTCAAATGACAAAACGGTTTAAGCTTGAAAACCTTCAATTCTACAAATTCAGGTCTGTTGTGCCCTCACCCGCAATCTACAAAGCCCAGCAAAATCTATCCCTTTCAATCCCGTCGCTACACAACAACAGAGTGGACCAAATACATTGACATTTAAATTTTCATCGCTCAATTCGAATGCCAGCATACAAACATCGCCACAAATTAATCCAACGAGGACGCCATCACAATTAGTAACCCCAGCGCTAATACCTCCAACGAGTGTGCAGCCAGTACCCAGCAGTACAATAGGCACTGGCATCTTGCCAACCAAATCCAACCGGCCAGAGGTGCTATTGCCACCTTCAATTCCAAACAACGTCAATGCCACAGTTGTAAATATACCCACGCGCTTGCCATCGTTGAGAGGGCAGCAAAGTTGCGGATTGACTTCAGCTTATACAAATAAAGTTGTTGGTGGTTCAGAAGCTAGTCGAGGTAAAAAGAAAAAAAATTGATTTTAAAAAGTGAAGTTGAAATATGATTCTTGTGACATTTATCATCCATTTCAGGCGCCTATCCATGGCTCGTCGCTTTGGGCTATCGCGACGAATATAAACCGGATGCTTTGAAGTTCCTTTGTGGTGGTAGCTTAATCTCAAGTCGCTACGTTTTAACCTCTGGACATTGCATCAATGCTTTGCTGAGCACAGTACGCCTGGGCGCACATGACCTTGGCAATGTTAACGAAGAGGGTGCCATAAATATATCCGTTGAACGTAAAATAGTGCATGAGCAATATAATGAGCGTTATGTCGTTAATGATATAGGATTGGTTAAGTTGCGCACAGCAGCGCCAATTACAGGTAAGAAAATACTTCACTTACACGTTAGACTGTCTCACGCCCTATAGATAGATATAGAAAATCGGTTAATCTTTTCCAAGCGAATTTCAAAATCTGAGAAGTTTCAGCTGCATTGCCAGAAAAACGCTCGGATACCAAGTATGTGTAAGGGACTTCTTAATATGAAATTTGTTCTTCCATAGATTTTAGTGTAAAAAATTTATTGTAGAAAACTTATAAAGCCAACAATTTAATTTAAGAAATGACGCCAACAGTGACCAGATCACGATTAACCACGAGCTAAGCTAAATTGTTTTAAGAAAAAGACAAAACTGAGGATGGAAGGAAATAAGGTTCCTATGGTACCTTGTGCACGGAATTAACGTGCGTAAAGTTTTGAAATTTGAATGAAAAGTGCGTTAAAAAGTTCGCAACAGATTACTTACTTATGTATATTGGTCTATCGAAAAAGATATTTCACTTTAAAAGAGGGTTTCAGATAAAACTTTTATGTAGGAAAACCCGATTTTTAGAGTTACATATTTCCAAGAGGCCCAACGCTGGAATTACACAAAATTTTGATAAAACTTTTTTGGTGCGTGCTATTAAAAGCACATCGAAGTTTATGATTCGCTTGGATAAACAACCATTTTTTTTCTTTTAGTGTGTCAACCTAATAAACATAGCTGCGTTCCATAGTAAGATAAAAATATAAAACATTTACCAATCTTTTATTTATTTTCACAGCATATATTGGCCCAATTTGCTTGCCTGATGGAGAACGCTTCGAACAGAATTTTGTGGGGATGAACCCATTTGTTGCTGGCTGGGGTGCAGTTAAGTTTCAGGGTCCAAGTTCAAATGTTTTGCGTGACGTTCAAGTGCCCATTGTGAACCAGCAGTCTTGTGAACAGTCCTATAGTTCTGTGTTTCAACATATTGCATTTACTGATAGGGTGAGTTTAACAAATAGATGCTATATAAATGCATTTACTCTTCTTTTACGCTATAAATATAATAGGACAGTTCGCTGAACGCACTAGAGAGTAGTCTCGTGCAGGAAAAGGCGTTCGATCAGAGTTTTTCTTGCACTAAAGGAATGTATTTTTATCCTATAGGATGTATTATGTCTAATACATATATATGTACAGGGGTGGGCGATCGCAATGTTACAAATTAAAAATGGTACAGTTTTGTATACTTTTCTAAAAAACGTAATTTCATCATGAAAAACTTTTAAAATTTTAATAAAAGTGTATTACGGTTCGAAGTAGCCACCATTAGCGCGGATAATAGCATCGAGTCTGTTCGGGAATCTTTCGCAGGCTGCACAAATGTGGTGTGGTGGTATTTTGTCCCAGTAGCGGCAGAAAGAGCAATCTTCAGGGTGTTGACTCTCTCATAAGTATTTGTTAGTTGATGCTTTTGCCTCAAGAATGATTTTTTAAGTCCGGTGAATATGGTGGCCATTGTTGCAAAGAAATGAAGGTGGGAAGTTTTTTTCTGAAAAAAAACGCTGGATTTCGCGAACTTTACGCGATAATTCTGAGTCTTATTGAAACAGCCAATGATTTCTACCGAATTGTTTTCATGCTCAAGGTTACAAAGGTGATTACATCGAACAGTAATACACCTTTTAACCGACTTCACAAAAAGGAGAAGGTTATCAATTCGTTGGAATATTTTTTTTTGGTAACTTTGGACCACATTAACCGATTTCTATAATTATTTTTTTTAACTGTGTTACCTCACTGTTGGTCCCATTCTAATTTTGTTTAAATACAATCATTGGGTCATGAAGAGATTAACGATAATTTTAAATTTTTATATGAGAATTGAAGTCGGTTTTGTTTTTTGCTTACAAAATACTTGTTTTTTTTTTTTTAATTTGAGCTGTTTTTATGATGAACGATGTTAAAAAAAAAATAGACAAAATTATACATAGCATTTTTAATTGGTAGCACTTCGAGTGCCTATCCCTGTATTTCGACGGCTGAGTGTAAGATCGACCTATCTCGGCAGCCGGCCAAGAATGCCCTATCTCAGAATTTGGAAATATGAGCAGAAAAGCATGTTACTTAGGTGTACCAGAAATGATCCAACAAAATGTTTTTTTTT